AATGGTATGAGATTATTTCCAATTGAATTCCCATTTTGATTTAAGAGAACTTCCTCTTCTTGCAGTCAACAATAAAGCCACTGGTATGGAGGGCATGGTGCGTGTCTGCAATATCAGCACCAGCATGCGTGCCCTTATCAAGGGCATGAGCGGCGAGGTCTTGGATCTGCAGTTCGCCCACACAGATCGGGAACGCATACTGGCTGTGATCGACATGAGCTCCCTTTTCGTATACAAAATCGATCTAATCGAAAGCAATCTGTTGTGCAATCTGGTGCTGAAAGTCGAGGATCCCATTGCCAACTATCAGCCCGAGTACGATATGGTATCCTGGTGTCCATATGTCTGCAATAGCTCGAATGCCGGTGCACCCAGCGAGGATGATGATGAGAATCAGCTATTGATTTGGTCGCGCAGTCGACAGTTTCAGGTTTTTCATGTCAAAATGATCATCAATGAGCATGGGGTGAGTGTGGTGGTGGTGTATGGTGGTGCCCTTAAACCATTGCTCGATATTTATAAATGTTTGTTCATAGCGTGGCAAAATCAATCCGGATGTTCTGGATGCTGGTTATCTGAAGATTGAGGAGGATTCGTTGATCACCTGCGCCGCTCTGTCGCCCGATGGCACCACAGTGGCCGCTGCCTGTGCCGATGGCTTGGTGCGTTTCTATCAAATTTACTTCTTTGATGTACGCAATCCACGCTGCCTGCACGAATGGAAGCCGCACGATGGCAAGAAGGTCAATTCGTTGTTTTTCCTGGACAACATTAACAAGCCAGTGGAGGAGTAAGTCGTTGATTGCTTACGTTTAAATGACTCACTTACTGATACTCTCACTGATTCTACTGCAGATCCTATTGGCAGCATGTGATCACCACCAGCGACAACAACACGGAAATCAAACTGTGGAACTGCTCGCTGTGGGAGTGCCTGCAGACCATCAATATAGTGGCCGCACTGGCCATCCAGCCGGCACAATTCATTGCGGGCATTGATCGCAGTGCCAACTATTTGGTGGTGTCCTGCCTGGAGAGCCTGGCTGTGTACGTCATGCAGATTGGCAGCATCAGTGGCAGTGAGGCAAGCGATGCTGGCTCAGATATCAGTGATGGCGAGGGCAACGATCAGCGAATCCAGAACGTGGCCGAGTTCAAGCTGAGCTCGGGCATACTCTCCTTTTCGATTGTGAACGCGGCCATGCGACGCCTGAAGAGCTCTGTGGAGAGCTACTATCCCGTGGAGGAGCCGGATGACTTTGATGACGAAAACAATTCCACATACGCGCTGGTGGTGCACATGTTTGTGGTGCAGGCCAAGAGCCTGCAGGAGTGCCACATCATCTACCAGCCGTGCGTGCCCGAGAAGACTGAACGCAAGAGTCTGATCAGCAGCAGCAGCATTCCGAGCAAGCAGCAACGTTCCGTGACCCCAGAGGATAATCTGTTGATCCTCAAACAGGATACGACTGTCGTCTCGCCAAACAGTGTGGCAGGAGCAGGTGTCGGTTCAGGCAGTGTTCCCCTCGACGCGCTGTTTGCCAAATCCGCCAAGAGAGCAGCGCCTACGGTCGGCAGTAGCTCTTCCGCTGTCGTGGCCATGGCTGTGGCCGCTGCCGCAGCTCCTTCGGCCATTCTACAGCAGGCCATTGAGGCAGCAACGACCATCAAATCGAGTTCCGCTTCGCCACAGTTTGGCAGCGCCTATCCGCCGGTGAATCTCATGACACCAGATGCTTTTAGTGCGAGTGGAACACAGTCGAGCAGCACAGCGACCACCGCTGTGGTGGTGGCCACCAGCACCGCAACCAGCACAGGAACGGATGCTGCGGCCGTCGCTGCCGGCACTGCTGTGACTGCGGCTACCGATGCCATCGATTCTCAGGTCTTGAATACTCTACGCATGCTGGCCACCGTGACGGCGGGCAAAGCCGGCGAAAATTCCAATGCGAATATCCTCAATTTGATGAACAATACTTTGATCGAAGACCGGGAACAGCAGAAGATCAAGGACAAGTTTGAGGCGCGCAAAAAGTTCATAGCCATCGATCGGAATCCCGAGCGAAATCTAGCCGAGAATTTGGCCAGCGGCGGCTCGAGCCCAAGTCGTGAGGTGCAGGAGATTATGTCCACACAGGATAATGCCGATGATGCCTACGAGGCGGAGCTGGAGAACCTAGACGACGACGATGATGACGATGACGAGGAGGAGGAGCTGGCCAACTCATCGCCCCTGCTGGATGCCGTGGATGCCAAATGGCTGGCCGAGGCGGCCAAGGTGAAGCCCGTCAAGAAATCCGCAGAGCTGCAGAATGCAGCACAGATCATGTCGCAGGCGGTCCAGCACAAGAACAATGGCAATGTGCCGCCCACACTCGGGGGCGGTGGCAACATCAATAGCACCAGCGTGGGCAGCAACAGCAACAACAATACTGGCACCACTTTGAATACGAGCAACAGCAGCAGCCACAATGCCGGCGAGGGAGACAGCACGGCCGGCGGAAATGCTGAGCTAAATGATAAAATTGATCTATTGTTGGGTGAGTACTGTGGGGGTTTCTATACTGAAAGGAGATGCCGCAGAGTTGCAACAATCCATAATCTAGCACTTATGCTCAAGAACTGCGTCCGCAATCTTTGGAGCTATTCAACAAAGTCGATCACTAAAGCCATTCTTTATTTGCCTTTTAGATTTGGTCAAGGCCCAATCCAAGCAGCTGAACAAACTGGAGAACGAAGTGTCCAAGCTACAGCAGCAACAGCAACAGACAGCAGCGGTGGCAGCAGCGGCGGTACAGCCTGTCAAAAGCGATGCCTCCCTGGAGCCCAAGAATGTCAATCAATTGGCCTACAAAATCGAAATGCAGCTGTCCAAACTAATGGAACAGTATCTGAAGCGATACGAGAACGAGCACTCAAAGAAGTTATCCGAATTTCTGCTGGCGCGGTGAGTATTCAAACGGAAATTAAATCTTAAATGTGGTGCATAATTTTGATATTTTTTTTTCGCAATAGCGAGAACCAGAATCGTGAGCTACGGGAATCTGTGGTGGCCGTACTCAATCAGTATGTGCTCACTCACTTTACGGACATTATTGGCAACGTACTGAACATGGAACTGCAACGTCAATTGGTGCCCAGGGTGAATGCCAAAATGGATCAACTGACGGCACAGATTCAAGTGGAGTTGGTTCAAAAGTTGGGCGTCTTTGAGAAGGCTGTCAAGGAAAATATTGCACAAGTATGCAAGAGCAAGGTATACCCGCGGCTTTCGCACTTTTGTCTCTCCATGTTAAACGTAATTTCTTTATCCGCTGTTAGCAATTTATGGATTCCTTTGGCAAGTCTGTGCTGATAGGTGTGCAGACTAGCCTGCAGACAGCATTCATAGATTCAATGGGCAACACTTTGATACCAGCGTATGAGAAGTCCTCGCAGAATATGTTCCAGCAGCTGCACGATGCCTTCACTGTGGGAATCAAGGATTGTAAGAGCTAGATTACTTTGGATGAAATGGTCTTCTAATTGCGTGTCTCTCTTCCTTTGCAGTCATGGTCCAATTCAATGCCTACCTGCAGCAGATGCCGCAGCAACAAGCCGCTAGTGCTGGCAATTCCGAAGAGCTCAACAATAAGCTCGGCCTCTTGAAGCAATTGGTCGAAAGTAATCTGCTCAAGCATCGCACCGAGCTCACGGACGCCATGCTGGAGACACAGCGTGAGGTGAAGAGCCTGGAGATTCTATTGGCCCGCCAGGTGCAGGAGACCATACGAGCGGAGCTGCGTAAGTTTCTGGAGACCCAGAACCTGGCCATACGCTCGCAGGCGGCTACTCCAGCGCAACCGTACGATTTGAGGGACAACATTAAGCAGCTGCTGCATGCGGGGCAGATAAACAAGGCCTTCCACCAGGCGCTGCTGGCCAACGATTTGAATCTGGTGGAATACACACTAAGGCACACGGACAGCAATCTGGCCTTTGCCCCAGAGGGATGCAGGCTAGAGCAGAAGGTTCTGCTGTCGCTCATACAGCAAATCTCCGCTGATATGACCAATCACAATGAGCTTAAACAGAGGTATGAAATTGTATTTCTTATCTATCTGAAGGCGTACTTATACGTTCCATTTCCATTTACAGATACCTCAATGAGGCGCTGCTGGCCATCAATATGGTGGATCCCATAACCCGTGAGCATGCCCCCAAGGTGCTCTCCGAACTGTACCGCAATTGTCAGCTGTTCATCAAGAATTGTCCCAAGAGCACGCAGTGCAGCAATGTGCGACTGCTCATGAAGGCCATCATGACGTATCGGGATCAGCTGAAATGATATCACGAGAATTACAACATGGCCAGTGGCTGGTATTGATAGTGTGCCCCCCGTTTCCCCCCACTCCATCACCCCGATCCCTCTTTCAATATACACACACACACACAAACACACTCGCTTGTAGGAAGGAGGAGTTCCAAAAACAACTACAGCTAAAAATGTTGAAATTTCCATCGGGCTTTAAATTTAATTTGTTTATTTTCTTTTGTCTTTGTGCGCGTGTCCTTTTCGTTTTTTAGTTTAAGGGATTTATATAAGTTTTTTGTTCTCTCGTTTAGGATCCCTGCAATAATTTTCTCTTCTTTAGAATTTACTTATCTTTTGTGCACGCGAGCTGCGAGCAGTTCCCGATGCGTGTTTTAATTTTATATTTTCGTTCCTTGAGGTTTTTTCTATTTTAATTTTTATGACGCTTATAAAAGAAGGGAGAACAAACAAAAAATAACAAGAGCTGTAGAAATTAATTTTAAAAATTATTTCCAACACAAAAAAAAAAGCAAAAATTACTTTCAATATACACACACACACACACAAACAAAATTATAATTGCAAATGCAAAAAAACTACAAGTAAAGTCGTAAATCATAAGCTAAAAGTAAAAAAAAGAACAAGAAAAGATAAACTAAAAATTATAATTATAAAAGTAAAGAATAAATGTATGAATGTATGTACTTGAAAGACACGTGAAATATTTTTAATTTTTTATAAAATTTAATGCCAAATTATTGTTTGAGCATCTTCACGTCTCATGGCGACACTTTGGTCAGCTTCCAAGCAGCTCCGTTTTAGGATCAACAATCATCCTGCTCATATGGGGATAGGTATATTATATATATTTCTCAAATAGTACAAAACATCTTTTCGCTTAGAGCCTGCAAAAAAAACGCCAATCTATGGGGCTAGGAATTTTAAAGCTTTGTTGTCAGTTTCAAGATCAGCTGAGCAGTGCCAGCAGCTCGGAGGTGCGCTCCAAACAGCTGCATCCACAGGTGGCACAGACAGTGTGTTTCTGAAAAAATAAATAAATATTAAAGCCTCAGTAAATAGAATAGACTATAAAATATCAAGATATTGCACTAGGAACCAGAAACCATTTAAATTTAAGGTTTTTGCCTCACGCTATGGTCGCGAAGAGGTACCGTTACTTCAATTCGAGGCCAATTCCTTTTTGTCACGCACAAGCAATGTAAATTGTTTTGGGTTTCTGTGTATTTTTTTGTTATTGTATTCAGGGGGCCGACTCAGCTGCCCAAGGCATTCTCGTGCCTCCATATCTTTGCTAGAACTCACCTCAAACCACTGCATCATGTGATCCATGTGTCCGCCATGGCCACAGGCCAGACAGGCATTTGCTGCTCCCCTGACAGGCAGACGACAGAGCACACAGTAGAGCGCCGGCCGCATGCAGTACGCACATTTTGAAGTCCGCTTCGGCATGCTGCACGTACCACACTCGGTGACAAACTCGACGCCTTGAATGGGAGGCGGTGTGTTCTGTGTGTGCTTGAGGATGAGGGCCCGCTTGGAGAGGAGCTGCCAGCCAAAGAGAATCTCGGCATAGGCACGCTTGAACTGATCGAACAGAGGCATTTTGGTGCGTCTGATCAGGGAACAGGAATAGGCATCGGCCTGGAACTGTTTGACGTCCAGCCAGTCCAGGGAATCCGACCAGGAATTGCTGCGCATCTGCTTCATCTGCTGCCAATGGCTGGAAGAGCTGGACTTTACGTCCAACGGGAGCACCGTGTGGTAGGGCGATAGCTGAGAGTTCAGTTGCGGTGGAAAGCGACTGGGCACGGCCACATCCATAATGCCACCCGTGGGACACTTGTCGAACAGGCAGGCCAACAGCACGGCCGTCTGTATATCCCCCGAGCTGGCATAGTGCATGATCAGGGATTCCAGCAGGGATTTCTTGAACGGGTCCTTGTAGAACAGCAGCTCATTCATCGACTCGTGCGGCACATGCGGAGTGGCTATCAATTCGGCCAGCAGCCAGACGGGCAACAGGTCCATGCGTCCATGCTTGCGACATATCTCGCCATTGCGCCGACACGTCTCCGCTATGTTGTGCTTGTCCAGAGAGAATTCCTTGGCCATGTTGCGGCTGACATGAAGCAGACTGCTGGCATCGTACACATGCACCACCGGACTGCCATTCATCTGTCGAATGGCCCGCTGTTTGCCAGCCTGTTTGCCTGCAATCATCCGCTCCTGCAGATAAAATGAGGCGTTCGCATCCCTTTGGGTTGTGCCCATTACATTACCCAGCAGCCCGCTGCCGTTGATGGCCGACAGAGTCCGTGGTGTCATCGACTGATGCTGTCGCAGGGTCAGCCGCTTGTTGTTCACCGGCTGGGCAAATGTGGTCAGCATGCCAATGGCATTGAAATGGACGCCCGAAGTGCGTGGAAAGGGAATGCAAGCATCGTGCAGGGCACTCGACAGTGCGCCCTCCAATCTTGGGCTCTGCAGCAGCAGTTGACTTCGATCCTCGCCCACGCCGCCGACAGCAGCCACCTTCTTTTTCATGGCCGCCACCAGGGCACGCAGACATTGCTCCAGGCAAGTGCGCGATTTCTTCACTCTCTGCAGGGCATTGCAGCGCAGAATTTTGAGGAGTATCGCACTAACCTCGCTGGACAGCGTGGTGCCCTGGCACAGCTGAAACACTGGCGGCACACTGGGACTGGGATAGGATGTGGCGAAGGTCACCTGCAGGATGACCGTGTGCCCACCCGCACAGATCTTGAAGCAAGCGTACCGCTTGATGGCATCCAACATATCCACCTCCACATGCGGCATGTTCGTGTTCAGCAGCGAGAACTCATGATGCAGCGAGCAAGTGGGTTGATCTGTCAGCGATCGGGCTATATGCGGCTCCTCACGGCGACAGTAGCCACCCCCAAAGCTGGGCGAGCGTGCCATGGGCAGCGTATTGCATGCCCCATCGCCCGTTGAAATGGGCAGCGAGCCGGCGGCCATCACCGAACGTGGATGCAAAAACTCTGGCGGTGTGGGCACCCGCAGTTCACTCAGATCGGGCTCATAGCGTGGCTCCTCTTCGTCGGCGGATGGCTCGCAGAGCTTCAACATATTGTCATCGATTTTCCACACTCTCAATGTGCGATCTCTGGACCAGGTAACCAGCTCCTAAAAAGGGTAGAGGAGTTTTAAGCCAGAGAAAACCTCAGCAGGTGAGGAGCATGCTCACAATTTCGGTGAAATTCTCGCGATTGGGACGCCAGGCAAAGTCCAGAATGACATCCGTGTGACCCACAAACGAGCAAATGGGATCCGTTTGCTTGCTGTTGCTCCACAGCAATAGGCTGTTCTCACCGCGACCCAAATGTGGCACCACAATGCTAACCAGACCATTGCCAATGGGCTGCAGATAGAGAGAGTTTTAGAATGGATTTTAGAGCAATAAGGCAGGGGGCTGGCTCTACCGTATAGCGTGCTCTCCACACCGGCGACATGGTGGTAATGATCTTCTCGGCTCTGCGGGGATTGCAGACATCAAAATACTTGACTGTGCCGTCCTGGCTGGCAGTGGCCAAGCACGTCTCTCGGCGATGACTCCAGTTGATGCCGTGCACACGATTCAAATGCGCTGTAATGTAATGCGTGGGACAGCTACCCTTGCGTATGTCCCAAATCCGTAGATCTCCATCGTGGGCGGCAGCCAGCAGATTGCCCGACACACGATTGAAGCCCACCTGGGTGGCACCAGCTAAAAAAGAGAGAGCACAAATGAGTGGGGGAAGCCATGCGGATACGGTGACCATTTAGTTACACATGCAGACGGCATTCAGGGACAGTGCGGGCTTCCGGCTCTCACGCAGATCCCAAATGTGTGAGAAGGTGTCAATGGAGCAGCTGACCAGCAAATTGGGATCCTTGCCATGCCAATCAATGTCGGTCACCGTGCGTGTGTGTCCACGCAGCGAACTCTCATAGTAGGGCTCCGCAGGACCCCAGCGCACAATGTCAATATGTTGGCTCGTCTGCAATCAAAAAAGAAAATTTATGAAAAATCGCAGCCTGCTGCAGGATAAACACAATCTCTTACGGCTATTGCGCAGTACTCTTTACGGCTGGGGCATATGGCAAACTCCGCCACAGATACCTCGTACTTGGACTGACGCTCGTGACGTCGCAGGGTGCCATCGTCTTGGCCGAGGCGCTGCAAGGCCAGATGGCCACGCCCCGCCAGCAGCACCCACTGGCCGGAATAGTCCACGGACATGGCCGTGGCTTGAGAATCGCGATGCTCATAGTATTTGTTGCTCTGCTTTATGATGTATGTCTGTTCGGAGGCGGCACTGCCTGCGCCACCAATTCCTGTGCCTCCACCACCAGCACCAGCACCGCCTGCACGCTCGCCCGAGCGCAAAGTCTCCGTTGGTGGCATCTTTACCGTGGGATGTAGGTGGGGATGTGTAACCAAGAACAGGATTGACAAAAATTAGTCCATTTGAGCAACAAACAAATAAAAATAAAACGAAACGGAACTGATAAGGTTTATCGATAAACTATACCACCATTAACCCACTTAACCCCCCTCTATTTAACCAGGGCAGTACCTTGCGTTAAAATTCTTCAAGTCCTATCATTTTAATTTTCAAAGAGGAAAGTTACGTGCTTCTGTATTCTCAAAATTCGAAATTTTTCGATAGCATGAGAGACAAAATGCAAAATTAGTGTTCGTAGCCAACTGGACGCATACAGTTCTCTCGCTCTGACTGCTGGCATTACCCATAAAGCCATCTCTTTTCCAGCCTGTCAGTTAGCAAAGTCTAGTGTCTTAGCATCATAAGTGCGTTAGAGGACGGACGCTTGGCAACACTGCACAACCAGCTTTTATATTTAAAAAGCAATTTTCAATTTAAATAAACTGATATTCACCGATGCGATAGCAAAGAAAATGAAATTTCCATTTCCATTCGAGACAATCTGCTCTGCACACCCAAAACTGGACAAGTATCTCGGAAAACTGGGAACCTACAAGGTAGAACAGGTCCAGCCATCGTCTGCCCAGCCTCCGCTTCCAACAAAAAGTTCTGGTTGTACTTAATCTTCACATATTTCATAATATTGTTTATCGGGAGTAGTAGGTGGTTTTATTGGTAGTACGTTCTTAAAGTTAAGATTAAATCTTATGCGTATACATATGTATATAAAAGAAATCTTTGTTGGGGAAAATTCCCCAAATGGGAACATCTAATGCATATTCCCGAGTGTATCGGCACCGCAAGCCTGCATTTATGTATGTTTTTACATTTTATATGGATGAGAATTTTGTTCAATTAAAGAGCCACTCTTTGAATGATCGCTTTATAAAAGAAATAATTAGAACGCCAACCGTCTTCCTCGCTGTATTCATCGCTGTCTGCCTCGCTTTCGCTCTCGGTTAGATCCACCGAATAGGTGACAAGCAAATATGTTTTTTCGATGGCAGTCATCTGAAAGATCAGAAAGTTCGAAAGCACAAATTGAGACCTTGCTGATGTCTATTCTTTCGTTTCGTTTCGCTTACCTTGTCCCTCGCTAACCTGTGGGAATCCGCCTCCAACGGAACTTGGTGGGGTCTTCTGTTTCAGTATGTCAGTGACAGTCTCCCAGGTGGTCATTTTAGTCGAACCATAGCTTCAGTTTTCCACATCCTCGGAAGATGTTAAAGAGATGTTGAAAAATATCTTCATATAAATGTCGCGAAGTGATTTCCAGAATCTCGAGTTTTTTCATGTTAGCCAAGAGGGAAACGCTTTTTTCGTATATGAAGCCATACGTTAGGCGATATCTCGCCGAACATTTCATCCGCCATTAGGTGGACCTTTTCGAGTTCGGTTAGTTGAGACAGAAGCTGAATGTCCAGAGGATCAGCGAACTTACATTTCACATCTTGTAAAGATTTTATGCGGGCCAGTTCCCATGCCTCCACGCGATTGAGGTTTGAGTCCAAATCCAATTCAGTTAATGTCTGCGACTCCCTCGAAGCTAGAGCAGCCAGGAGGCCTTGGAGGGATCCTTTAGATGATGGCACAGCTGTAATAGTCAAATTTTCGAGGACGGGTAGCTGCGCTAAAAGCTCAGCGTTTTTTGTTTCGGCAATTCCACACATCAATGCCTTGAGGGATGAGATTTCTGATACTGCTGCGATTTCCTCTGCCTTTACAATTTCCAACATCAAGAAATCCAAAGTGGGTGCGTTCCTGAGTCCATTGAGAATCGTCTTAGGTGATCACCCTTGGAACGATTTGGTATTGTCTGGAGCCACGGTATTGCGCATTGGCGAATACCGGAGCGCCTGATAACGAAAAGGAAGCGTTTCGGTTGAAAACGTAAAACGAAACAGTAAGTGGAACGGACACCCCAAATAAGAGGGAACGATTAACAAAAAAAAAAACTTTCGAAACACATTACGTTACCGTTACATTTTATGCTGCTTGCTCACACTGAAATGCAGAGTTGCCCACTAATCTTTAAGAAAAGATATTTAAAATTAAAATTGCTGCAAGTAAAATTTTCTTTTATTCATATATATATATGTACATATATATTTCACAACATCTTCTGACACAAAACTGTTCACATGCACACCACACACATTAAGGGGTGAATCCAGCTGTAAGTTTGCTATCCATTCTGCTACAATTCTCATTGATTATTTATACAAAAATAAATGGGGGAGGGAACAAATTGTTCAATGTTACGATTAAATAGTTATTGTATTGTATTGTCCGCTAGATTAAGGAAAACTAAACCATTTCTACAACACCTACACCTACCACACAACTACAAATGCATATTATATGCACACGATAATGGAAACTCTTTCCTTACAATTAAAAGAGCTTTGAAAGTGGATTACGCAATAATATCTATTTCATAGAAATAAACTTAGTTTGGTATGGCTAAGGCTACGTATTGGGTGCTCAAGTCTTTGACAAATTACCCCTCTCTAAGCCCACCCCTGCTCCACCTTATCTATGGCAGTAGCAAAACATTTTGAGTGCCGGATCGTTCATGCAGTAGCTCTGACTGCCATACAGATTGATGCGACTTATGGTGCCGGTCAGGACACTCGTATATCCCGACATTCTCACTGTCGCCTCGAAGACAGCCATGCCGGGCTTTGTCTGCATACGCAACGTAATATCCACGGCATAGTCCGTGGATATATTCTTTACGATCTTGTGATGCGGTGCCGCAATGAACGCCTGCAGTATCGAGTTCAGATAGAGTGTGCGGCACTGCGAATTGTTCTTCAGTCGATCGTTGATGAGACGCACCACATAGCGAGCGGCACGCTGTACCCTGCCATCGTTCGTCTGAATCTCCTGGCGCTGGTGGCACGTGCACCAATGTGAGGCAATGCCAGCCTGCTCGCAGGTCCTGCCCGCCGGTATGGGCAGAAACAGGCTGATGCCACGCGGCAGTACGCTATCGGTCTCATCGAACTCTTCCGCCTTCTTCTGCACTTTGTCCGCCTCCAGGTTGCCCATATCCAGCAGATGCAGCATTGTGGCATGCACATCGAAGGGCGTGGCCAAGCGTCGCGAGTTCGTGCGCAGATTGGCAATGGCCTCCGGGTAGCGTTCGTTCATCCACGGCGGATAGAGCATGGTCATCAGTGGCTGTCGCTCCTCCATCATGCCCTGGTAGGTGCGTCGAAACGAGCCCCAGCGCAGCCCATGATCGGACAGCAGCATCACAACAGTCCGATTGAGCACACCCGAGTCCTGTAGCTGTCTGAGCCGCGTCACCATCGCCTCATCCAAGAGTGCCGGAAAATTGAAGTAGTCGTGTGTGAGGGTCACAGTCCACAGGAACGAGAAGAACAGATCTTTGCCCATTTTCGGCACCATTTTCGTTAGATATTCCAGCAGCACATCCGGCGTGCGCCTGCCGCCCATGCAGAGGTTCACATTGACATCCTTTTTGTAGGCCATGGTACGCTCCATTTCCAAAAGGATGGGCCGCAAATAGTAGTCTGTGGGTTGCCTATGGAAGCCATTCTGATTGAAGTTGAACGCCGATATACGTGCCACATCCTCGGCAAATAATGTCTTGTAGCCCGCATGCTGGTAACGCTTCCAAATGAACGAGCAGCCATCGTATGTGTGCTTGGCCTTGGGTGCACAGGCCATGTTCAGCTCCTGATCATCCAGACCACTCAGCATGGGCACTATATTCGGAAAGGTGTTGTCGCCCACCTTGTTGTAGCCCCACAAATCGACATGCGACAGATTCTTCTTGATGTAAGCGGCCGTCTTGCGCATTTGCCGCAAAAAGTTCAAGTGCGAAAGGCTGTCAATGCCCAGTATCATCACGGACAGACGCTCCTGGGCGGCCTCCTTGCTCTGATTGAAGCTAACCCTCTCCACACCCAATCTGGCAGTGATCTTCTGCGCTGGCTTGTCCACCGCAAAGAAGTGGCAGTCCTTGTAGATGCAACGGTCGGACGCGTCGTAGCACCAGAGGCAAACGAATTCCATTTCCGGCGGCAGTTGCATGACCTGCTGCAGCTTGAAGCTGACACCCGGCGAATATGTGTTGTTCCAGTCATTCTTACGCTTCACCTCCGTATAGTTGCAGCTTATGGCGGACAGATTGCTGATGTTATAGAGCAACAGCAGCTCGTTGGGACTCAAGTTCAGCTGCAGTTCGCCGGGCACACTGTCACTCGTACGCGTCAGCGGTTTGTTGCACTTGTAGGCACTGGGCTTGAAAATAAATTGCGCAATATTGTCATCGACCACCTCAAAGTGGGGCATGCGGCAGCCAGTGGTTTCCACAAAGTACGCACGATTCAGTTTGCCACCATACGCATCCTCGATCCTGGCCACAAAGTCAAAGCCATCGCGAAAGCGCAGCAACTTTGTCCTCAGATTATAGTCCACGCACAGATACGAGAAGACGCACAGGCAGAAGATGACAATCACAATCTTCTTGAACTGGCCGCGATTCTTGTTCATGTTGTAGTAGCGATAGTAATGCTGCAGATCCCTCTTTGTCATAAACTTTGGATCCAGCAGGTATTTGCTTCTGCAGGAGACATATACATAGAGAGAGAGATTCAATTAGTGGGTATCATTTTCTAGGTGTTGGGGTTAAAAGTAATGCCAGCCCGTTGGAAAAGAATATTTTAAATACGCGTAAACAATTGCAATATTTGCCAGCTTGCGAGCTTCAACTGGCGAGCTGTGGCACCTACGATAGAAACCATTATCGGGGGTGCCACAGATTTCCATTACAACGCAGCTGGTATTCGGTCTGTGGCAGCCCGCAATACACTATTTTTTTTTTAAATTTTTTGTTGTGGGTTTTATATTACCTTGCGCTGCCCTTAGGAAGAATCCGACTTTATTTGTACGGCAAAGGTATGTGAGAATATTATCAGTGCTGTCTGACATAAAAATAAAACGTATATTGATGTCGAATAAACGACTTACAAAACGAAACTTTTAAAATCCCAGGAACTGCCTCACAATCTGTCAATTTGTTCATTTGGCTCTATTATGTCCAGATACATATATGTCTGTACATATTTACATTTTAATGTACAAAAACTTTTTATTACCTCTTGCAAAAATGTAATGGCAGTAAAGTAAAATTGCAGAAAAAATCTGCTAAACAACGCAAAAATCGGACCATTTTTATAGCCGGTTTGTAGGGGCAGAAGCCTGCCTGGTTGTATCCTTTTGGTAGATGGTTTGTGGTTTGTGGGGGTTGTGTAGCGTCGCGTCGGCGTAGGAGCAACACAATCGGATCACTTGAAATCAATTTTATTACTACTTATTACAGCTTACGGCTTGCGCACTACTCGTACTCGTACAGCTGCAGTGAAATGGAGCCGAACACTCGGAGTGTGTTGAGTTGTTGGCGGATTGAGTGAAATGAAGTGTGGGGTGGGTGGCAGCATAAGAGAGGAGCCGGGCCCTGGCCCTTATGAGCGGAAAATAAAAAAAAGCTTAAAAGTATTGTAGTTTTTTTTTTTTTTTACCAGAAATTCATTTGCTAAACAAACTTTTCATGCTGTTTTTTTTTAGCTGAAGAATAGCCCATTTTAGGCCGGAGAATAACCCATTTTAGGCCGGAGCATCTTAAGCTGCAGAATACCTCCATCTTAAGCTTCTTTTTGGTTCATTGGCTTTATAATTCACTTAAGCGCCTTTCAGCCTACACTGACCCTTCCATGGGCACTGCCACCGCCTCCTTTTGGGTTCATTGTCTTCGTTAGCATTTTTTTTTTGTAAGCTGACAAACCATTAATTGAGGCAAGAAAACAATATAATGAATGGCCACAGCAAGAGAGAGAAGCAACACGAGTGGCCACTCAGCCGAAAGCCCTTAATCCGCTGCCCACCCAACTCCATTTCCCCCGCTCTGCTCTGCTCTGCTCTTCCTTGAAGCTGAGAATTATTTAAGCTCGCACTAAACTCATAAATATTCAGACGTGGAATGAAATGCCCAAGGAAGTAGGCAACTCTGGCGGCACTCTACAGTTGCAGTGTTCGACGAGATTTACCGTTAACCCACTTCGAGCAGGTGCAATCCATTCAACATAAATTTCTTTACCCATCCATCCGATTTTGTACAAAAACAAATTCTCAATTGACACTTTGGATTGCTTTTTACTCGAGCAAACACACAGACACACACACGCAAAAATAGGAAAGAACGCTAGCCTGCTGTAGTCGAAGCAAGAGATACCCTATATGAGTCATGGCTGCTGACAAAGTGTCTGATTTGGATCTAATTTGTCTTTTGATTTGTATGTCAGTTCTGAACTACATGTAGTATGTATGTGAAACAGACTGACGGACATGGTCTTAGCGATTAAGATGTACCTTTCCTTCCTTGCGTTACAAACATCTCATGAGAATCAAAATACCCTGCTCAAGCCTAAATTAACACAGAAATAGAATGGGCTGAAAAGAAGGGAGAACGAGTGCGATAGTGACGTAGGAGAGAAGTACGTATGCATTGAACATTGAAATGGCATTCGATGCTGGGTGCTTAAAGCAAACCAGCGATGACATACAATGACACACCTGTCTCTCCTCTCTCCTCTCTCACAGCTATGCGTCTCCTTCTCTCTTTTGGTAGCTTAAATGTCCCCTCCTTTACACTCTCTCTCCCCATCCCTCCCGCACGGTACTTACTCATAGCTCAAATCGCCGTATTTTCGCATATCCTTTGCACTGTAGTAGGTACGCATCTTTCCAAACAAATCCTGACGCGCTCTAAGTTCTGCTTTGCTCTTCTAACCCCGCTCTCTGCTTCACACACTCAAGTCCTTGACATGTTGTTTGCTTTCTGTTTAGCTGCTTTTGTCTCTGTCTCTTGTTTTGGCTCTTCGCGGGTGCCGTTATGCTCACTTTGCTTGGGCACCACTAATTGTTTGTGTGGCACATTTTATGCACTTTCAATACAAAAATTTTCACACGACTGCACTCGCTGCTGCTGCTTCCCCTTCTTTCGCTGCTGCTACCGCTGCTTGCTTGCTGCTACCGTTCCAAATGTGTAAATTTTGTTGTTGCTGCTTTCGTTTTTGATTGCTTCTGCGGGAGAAATTACTGCAGTTTATTTCCGTTGATGCCTGCTCATCAATGAAAGGCTAAATTGAGCATTGCCAAAGTTTGGAAGCTGTGCCAGGTCCAGGCTCCAGGCTGGCTGGATTACTGCCTCTCTCTTACTTGCCGTTTGCGTGAGTTGTGCGCATCCGCGTGAATTTAACAGCTGTTCCCAGGGATGCTGCGGCACAGAAATTACACGGCGGGAAATATTTGTAGCTGTTGTGGGGGGATATTTTGTTGGGTTTCTTGTATTGGGGAATTGATTGACTTTGATTTTAAATTTAAGTGAATCAATATCGAAACAATTATTTTAATGCACACACTCAAAATTAGTTTTAATTCTTCAAAAATAATGTAGTAGTTAGGGAATTGATTGACTTTGATTTTAAATTTAAGTAAAATGTTACCAATAGTTTTTGGTATCATTTCAGAAAAATATTAGTCTTTAAATGGCTACAAGGCGATGTGTATTGGAAGGTATCGAAACAATTATTTTTATGCACACACTCAAAATGAATTTTAATTCTTCAAAAATAATGTAGTAATTATATTGAGGAAACTCGGAAACTCCTAAAGAATGAACTTCATGTTTTACCAAGGCTACGATTTGTCCCAGTAGCATCTGACTTAGTTTATAAGCCGTAAAAAGATTTGTACATGTTTATTCTGTGCTAATAATATGCATATGAGTGTGCAAATGTTCATACATATGTACATATAAGAAATACTTTTTGTGAACTTGTTTTCCAAATGTTTATGGCATAATTCGGAGCATTGATTGCGATTTACATGTCGCAAATATCGCACACTGGGTAATTAACCGTAGGATTCTTTTTGACAGCCAATGTTTTATGGCCACTGCCCTTTGGTTTGCAGAGCTCCCGCTGTTCTTCGAGAAAAACTTCATCTCGATTAGATTACCCAATTTTGTGTGCGAGTGGGAGGTAAACGCGCAACTACACAAAATTTTCATAAATTTGATTAAAAACTAATGGAATGGAGGGATTAACTTTTTGTTAGTATAAATACTCTGTAAAAGATCTAAGTATTTGTGTTTAATTTTAATAAATTAATGATTATGGCTTGAATAAAATTCAGTTTAGACTCTGAGACTGACCTTAACCTTTGCGAGAGGGCCACAGAAGCAGCTGCTAACCAAATTTGGAGGATTTACAAAAAGACTTTCCCTGGGTAGGGATTAAACAGCTCCAAGAATGATAAAGTTGTGCATTAAAAATCGTTGACATTCAGCACGCGCCACAGATTATTGTATGTTGCATTGAAATAAATATTCAAAAAATATTGCAAAAATTAATGAGCCTTAATCCCAGCACCTATTCAGCCTTCGAGTGCTCTTTGTGCACTGCAATTTCGGAATTTCTTACATGCAAAATACTTAAGTATCCATACACACAGAGAGTGAGAGAGAGAGAGGGAGAGAGAATGTATGGCAAAAGGACACATGCAGCGAGGAGTCAACAGAGTTCGTCCATGCCACAACCTTTCTACCATTCCTCCAACTCAGGGCTGAGGCAGGCAACAAGTGGGCAGAGCCAAGGCAGCGAAATCCTGCAAAAGGACTTTCGCATATCGCTCATTAAACGGACCCACCAAAAAAGCGCAACAGGCTGCAACAAGCCAACACAAACACACATGTGCACTGACCAAAAGTGGAATAATTTATGACCAAACAATTCATTTAATTTAAAATTTTCTTTTAAAGATTGTGAATACAATGGAAACTATTATTAATATCAATTAAATAACCAAACATCAATACTTTTTTTATTTACGAATTTATTAACAAATATTGTATTGAAAATTACCAAAACTACCATTCGCCAAGGCCATGTAAGAAATATAATATTTTCCACTAAAAATCTCCATTTGAATAACCAAATATAGGTAAAGAACTATGAAAAAACTTAAGGGGTATCCCAGTTTAAAATCGATGGAATTGTATGGAACAATTAACTATCGATGCAACTAGACATTTTAGCTGGCTGTATTCATTGATTGTACCAAATATATAAATTTTCTTTGCATTTTAAGTGGGTTCTTGAGACAGTTACCCCCGCGAGTGATATACAGCGTCTATATTTGTTTTTTTTTTCTGTGTACACCCAGTACGTGTACGTACATACATGTGTATATCACCCACATAGAGTCGTATGTGTGAGTTAATAACTTGGCTGCAGGCAGGACATGGATTTTGATGTTCAATAATTACAGCAACAACAGCCACAAGGAGCCACAGCGAGAGGGTGGGCGAAGAAGCAGCGTAAATCAAAGTATGAAAAAAGCATTTCACTGTTGATCAGGCGCCCGCCCCCCATCTTTGAAGCTGTTCCTTGGCGATTAACAAGCATTTATAATGTTTCATTATTGTAAAAAAGGACGAGGGAAAAAAAGAGCCAACTTCGGTTGGGGACTCTGAGGCTGCTATAAAAGCGTCAGACGCATAAAGCCAACGCTTCAGTTGAAATTTCAAAAGTGTCGAACGCAGAATTCCGAGCATACGAACAGCATCATCCCAGTGGAAGGCAGGATTGACATTAATTAGTTTCCTGCAGCTAAAACGCAATGCAGCAACAACGTTGGCAGAGTCCACTGCATACTTCGAGGCGCAGGTGGAACAGGACCAGATGCAGTGGCAGGAGTGGCGTGAGCGGAAACGAGGGCGGCGGTGGTGGCAGGAGCCTCAGCAGCAGAACCTATCACCTGCCAGCCTTGTTGATTATCCTGCTCGTCCTCATCCAGAACTTTGAGCTTCACATGTGCCGGCAATTGATGAGGCAGCCAAATGACAAACGCTCCAAGGACAAGCTCTCCTTCCTGGGCAGCGCTGCAGCCTCTGCACAGGAGGCCCTGCCCGAGGCTGTGGCAGCAGATGATAAGCGAACTGCAGGAAGGTCATCTCCCAGCCAGCCCGAGGAGATATTCAGTGCCCCAACCGACGATAGCTACGACGAGTACCCGGTAAGTGGACCTCACACAGGACACGCAGGACACCCACGAAAAATTGCGAACCGATATGCTGCGTGGGCCGTGTCGGGGTCACCTTTTTTTTGCTCACTTACATTTTTGGTTTTTTTTTTTTGGAAACCTATCATATTACACACAATTTGTAATCGTATATTTTTCATTTGATTGCTTTCGCTTTGACCCAAAGGTAAATTTCTGCCAAAAGAATCTGACGTCATGTCGCTTTGATTATGGAAGGTTCTAGCACAAGTATTAGGTGAAGATTATGCTGGTGCGCATAATGAGGGTTGGGTTTGGTCTAGGGGCATTTTTGATACAACACTTTAGAGAATTTAAGGTGCCAATGTTGGTGCGTGGGAAGTTAATTAGATGTGCAAATCATAGAGCATATTAGAATACGTAAAGGTATTTTACAAAATAGCTGGGGTATCCGAAATATATGCAATTTATTCAATTTTGAGTACTAAATGTTCCATGAACATATAGATGGTAGCTCTAAGATACAATGGTTGGACTTTAAATTTACAAGATAATTTACAAGAAAAGAATATTCTTGTGGGGAAGACTACGGGGATACCCAAGTTCCACTAGAGCCCATTTAAATTCGAATTTTCGAATGACGTTGCTTCGCTGTTGATTTAATTAACAAATCCGAATGAACCGATTCCATTGCTCCCTCCACAGATGGTTGTCCCAAAGCGAGCTGCTCTGCTCCTGGATCGTCTGATGGTCGCACTGCACCATGCCCTCGAACAAGAACGCGTTGGACATCGCATCGGCGACTTTTATGCGGACAAGAACAATCTGAATGCCAAGTTGAGTGAATACAAAAATGGATTTGAGGAGCACCAGCCAGGCGATGATGGTGAGTACTGCAATAAAGTGCCACCACTTAAACTGACAATGGAGTTTTGTTACAGGGATCAATCTGCATATGTATAGCGATGATGATCCGGGCGTAATGTTGGATTATGATTTCAAAGATTTGAATCAAATCAATCGCGCCACCGGCGAAACAGTAAGTTGGAACATAAAACCTAAATTGCAATATAAGACATAAAATTAGCAGCGCGATGTGTAAGAAAATTTCAGTTAATGGCAAAGAGCTTTCAGAGAAGAGCCGGTGCGGAGTCGGAGCGAACTGGATCGCCCGCCGCTGCTGGTTCCGCCCCCACTGGTTCCCGTCGCATCCATCCATCCAACACCCATGGCTCTGGCGGTGGTCGCATGTACTGGCGTTGCTATTTCAATGCCGTCAGCTGCTTCTAAAATACCCAAACCAACCCAGTCCATGCCTATCTGGAGTGTAACGAACGCTACGATCCATCCCAATTGATCTCCAGAGATGTGTTGTGTTTTAGAGACAGTTTCCGTTTCCCGGTTTGGTGGCTGCTGTGAGAGTTTTTCGCGCAATTAACTGAAAGAAAAAACAAAAAAAAAAAAAACAAAATACATCCCAACACTCAATCCAAGTTCTGTAATTTGTATCTAGTGGTATCTGTATCTTGTATCTGTATCTGTAACTGTATATCGGTGTATCTGTAGCTCTGTCTATCAATGGAACTCACTGTGAAACTGCGTTATAAATAAACCACAAATGATAAATCCAATCGCATTCATAAATAAATTAATTTATATTCTCTTTTCCATGCACCCGTACACCCAATATACCCCCCTAAATTCCCATAAATAGTTGTATATCTTTTTGGGGAAAATTACGGCACAGACAGGACAGTATCGTAATCCCAGCCATGCTTAATGCTGATTGACATGACCATAAAACTTCATTCCCAACCAAATCCATCGCATGCCCTCAACTCGTGTCTCCCATTGCGTTTTATTCTCGGGTGCAAAGAGGGGGCCACATGTACTAGCAGGCGGAAGTGCTACTTACCCATATCGGTTAGTATCTGGATATATATATCATTATCGTAGCTGCACTGCTGTTGTCGGAGTTATAGGGGCTATAAGGCATAATTCAAACTTTGACTTAAGTGTTAGGTGGCTGTCGGCGCCATAGACAACTGAAATAGGTATAAATTGTATAGTATATTTAAACAATAAATTGGAAAGCAAAGGATTGAAATTAGAATCTAAATAAAGCTTGATTTTTTTAGGTTTTATTTTCCTAAAAATGATTTTTAGGTCCAAAACTATTAAAAACTCAGCTTTATTTTAATTTTGAGCTTGAAACTAATTTCAAATTAGATTAATTACCTTCTCTTGTAATTGTTTTTCTATAATTTTTTTGTCTCCATTACCATATCGGCCCTCAACTCCCATCTCGAATTTTAATGAATTTGACTCCCCTCGAGCTCCTAGCACTCCATCTGCCCTGCGCTCCCATCTCTAGCATCCCACCTTCAATCAGATACAATTTCAGTCACCTCCCCTTTACACCACACCCTTTTCCATCAATATTGTGCATCTCCTTTGCTGCCCTTTTTAATGCAAATTAGCCACTTAAACTTCTGGCAAACTATCCAGCGCACTTTACCCACTCAATGCATAGCATTACCTCCCATAGGACATCCTTGCCTCTCTTTTCAGACCAACTGAACGATCGGTTTAAGTGTGCGATGCACGTTTCATTCCTTTGCTTTATTTTTGCATTTGAAAGTTTTTTTCTTGTGGTGGGTGGCCAATGGCGAAGTTTTATTGGCCAATAGAGCGCATTAATGAGCGTGTTGGAATGGACATTAATGGACTTTTATGTGCATCTAATTGCCTACGTTAATTGATGGTTGCCAGCTACCAGCAGCAAAGAAATCCGCCTCACAACAGACCACAACTACTATGTGAGAGTGTCCATTCCATTCCACTGCATAATCTCTTCCTGCCACATGTCCCGATTTCCTTATCAATGGGCCGTAAATCAATGGCAAAGCCGGAGCCACAATTGTCTGTGTGCATTTTGGACTCTTTTTTTGTATGTAACCTCTACGTCATAGATCCCGGCGTCGAAACGTATGCAACAAGTATTGCCCCGCCGCGGCCAAATCGTCAACAGGTGCCGCTTTCCTCTGTCCTGTGATACTCACCACGCTGTGCGGATTGAGTGGTGGAGCGTGGCTGGCTGGCGAGGGTGGGTTGGTGGTGGCTGTTCGTGTGGTGAATTAATAAGTCGCACATTGTTCATACGCACCATTGTACGAGCGTGAACAAGAGCAGCTAGCCGGCTAGGTTGGCGCCTATAGGATACCCTACATGTTGGCAAGGTGTCAAAATTTGTCACCTTTGGCGTGGTATAGCGCTAAGAATAATTTGGGTTGATTAGGCATATGATTTCAATAATTAAATCTGGCTTAAAATATAAATTTCAAATGTATGATGACATAAATGAAAGGGAAAATGTACAGATATTAAGATCAATCCGATCGAATTGGTTGGGGATTTATTTATACGTAATATAAAATGATGGACGTTAGTATATATATATTTATAACATATATATATAATATATGTTTAGTATGCAAACAATTTCAGTGAAAATAAAATCTGTTTTGCTCACATTTTCGGTTTTGGATGTAGTGGGACTCCAATTGCAGATCTTGGTTAAAAATACCCAAGTTAAAAAAGGAAAGGGCGTTCAAAGGAGAGTTCCCTACATTATAATTAGCTTTAAATCATATCACAGATTAATAATATAATTTTAAAAGCTTCCAATCCACTTGCAGAATATTTGCATAATCACACAATTTCTTTTGACATTTAAAACCTCTATTACCGTTCGTGCAGTATCTCTTTGCTCCATGTACCCTATTCCATAGACAAAATATAACAACAAGTGTTACTTGTTGCAGTATCGCTTGACATGAGGCACAAAGCTTTGTATAAGCAGACGCACCCCCCACCTAGCATCTAGTCCCTGCCTTCCTTCCTTCCTTCTTTCCTTTCTTCCTTCCCCAATTGCTCGTGCTTCCTGCTGTTGCTGCTGCTGGCTCTGTTGCTGCTGCTGCTGCTGCTGCTGCTTCTGCTGCTGCTGATGGCTTCGTCGTTTGCGTTGTCGTTGCTGGCTGGCGTCGTCAGCCAACGGCAGCAGAATGTTGGCTATTTTGTATATAAAGCCCTGTGTCAGACATGGCCAACATCGAGTTAACCATTTCCCTTCTTGGCGTTCACATCGAGAGTGACAGCAGCAACAAGTAAAACCAAAGTCCAAGGATCACAACAGAGTTCGGTTTTTGGCCAAATACCAAGAGCAAATAGTTCCACACAATTAACAGCAGAAATCGTCTACAGTTCGACGCATTTCTGTTCAACGCCTGGCGCCAGATTTGTCTAATTTCCCGACGCCATTTAAATTGCCGGCCATTTCCAGCCCATCCTCAACGCAAAGAATCGGTGAGTACCGGTGTTGTTTGAGCCATTCAAATTATGTGCTTACCTTCGGGCCCCTTTGGGGGACCACTAAAGCGGCCGGCCGGCCGGCGATTAATTGAAATGGGCATTTGTGTGTCAACGCAAATGAATTTGTGGGCGCGGAAATTGTGCGACAAGTGAATTATCTGCGGGAGAGTGAGTTATGGCCAGTGATATCATATCATATGGGCAGATATCCACAGGGATTATTGAGTGTGCAGACTATTTTCATACGGGTAGTGCAGTGAGCTGTTATGGATGATAGGGAAATGGAATAGATCACATGAAAATATCGAAAATCAATGGAATGTTAAGAATGATTTGTGTAAAGTTGCTTTCAGATCGAAATATCTATGATAATTATTATAAATGAGTAAAAAACAATATACAGTTTGCAATTTTCCAATAAAACTTGGAAATTCAAAAATTAATTGTAATTTTTCTCCCAAATTAGATATTTATTAAGAGCCTTCATTTCCTTTTACTACTTTCTATATTTCTTCTCAGAAAAATGTAGGAAACATTTAGTTGTTTTTGTAAATGAATCTTATCTTCTCATGACATTTTCTACTTCTGTTACATGCAGTTTTTCATTTCTATAACTTTTTACCAAAGTAGAAATACGAGTTAAAGGGAGAGAGAGAGACGTAAATGTGATTTTAATAACACTTGATTTAATTAGTTTTTTTTTTCAAACTAAATTTATGGTGAAAATAAATGAAAAGGATTGTCGTGAGTAATAGGTTTCTCGGAAAAAAGGAAGCAATAAGCTGCGTCAAAGGAAAAAACGGAAAATTCTGAGAACTGCATAAAGAATATTACAAATAAAATGGTTATGATAATGAGCATGAGCATGAACATGGCAGGACAATTATAATTATAGCATTCAAGGCTAGATTTCAAACTAAAAAAGTTCTGGAATCAAATTAATTATTTCCTGTTTTAAAAGATTAAATTCATGAACCAACGAACTACCTTTATATATGTTCATATTTTTTTGGTATTCTTTTATGAAATATTTACGTTAATTCCTCCAGTATAGCACATGAGAATCATGTTGTTATTTAATTTAAAAATAGCCTGAAAATATGGTCTTTCAGCATTTCCCACAATTTTTTGTAAGCTTGCCTTTCTGTTAGCAAAATGACGTACATATGTATGTACTAAAATTATTATGCATATATGTATGGATTCTAAAACTGAATGAAACACCTTAACAATGCAAAAAATATTTATAAATGTTTTTAAAATATTTTTTCTACTTAAAAAATAATGGCAGTTCATTTCTGTTTTTCTCCTTTAAAGTGACTCAGAAATGTTCACCCAAAGTAGAGCTTTGAGCAGAGTTCCAGCAAATTGATTGACATTTTACAACAATGACGGTGTGCTAAAGGTGCCGGGTCTTTGTTGTAACCCAGAAACTCCCACAGGTTGACAAATATAGGCCATTCGCCGTCAATACATCATCTGCATTTAGCCCTTGCCCCCATGATGTATTCAAATGTAATTTTTGTTTTGAATTTATGAATGTACATGCGTCACTTTGGGGACCATGGCTGGAGACCCCCGTAATGACAGACAACATTTGAGTGGAAGAGGAAACCTCCTCCTACGCTGCTGGCTCAGTGAAAATGTTTTGAATTATTTATGAAGTGTAAAAAAATCTGGCCAATTCAAAGTTAGCTCTGTTCTTTGCTTGATTTGAACTTCAATCCCCATTCAAGACCCTGATGATAAATAACTCGACTTCACTTGGCTCTGGACTGGGTTCGACTCTCGACCGATTCGTACTGAAACCGCAATCAAATTGCATTTAATATTTATTAGAATTTCCCTTTCCCTTTCGTGGCTCTTTTTTTTTTTGACTGTGGTTTCAGGGCATCAATGAGGCAGATAATTTTAGCCAGAATGTATGGGTGGAAAAACGGCAAAGGCTGTACGTTCTTTGGCTGTGAAAGTGGGCTTGTAAAATCATGTTGGGGGTAAAACAAAAATAGCACTCGTTTAAATATTTAAATTAAATATGAAGTTGGTCATTCGGCATAATTTATTCAACTTTGATGAATCTGTTGGGCTGAGAGGAAGAGAGAATTGTTTTCGACAATTAATTTATATTTGCCAGTATTTTGTACACATCAAAAGATCTTAAAAAGGGTACAGCTTTTTTTGGTAAAATTTAAGATTTCAATTTGGATTTGATTTCTGTAAAAATTCATTCAATCTTCACATATCCAAACTTCCCAGAAATTGTCACAAGAATTTCCTGTGCAATATTATTTTTAGCACATTTATTCCTAACAAATATTTATTTTCTAGATTTATTTTCATTTCCCCAGCTTCCGTCTACCGTTGAGTGGCAACAATATTGACAAATCTTCCATTTCCCCAACACATTTTACCCGGAAACCGTAATTTTCCACCTCCAACTGGCAATTGATCTGTCTCCCATCCTCGAGGCAGTAGCTCCAAAAAGAGCGCTGCAATAATTGAGCAAAGAATTTTCAGCTTGTCAAAGTTTTAAAATCTAATGGCGGCGACAACTCTTTCGCTTAGAATGTTTGCTTTGAGCCGAAGTTGCCACAAATCAAAGCGAAACCGCAGGCGCCGCGCGTTCCCCGACGAAACTCGATACAACTTCAAGTGCCCCTCCACAAAGCGCTCCTGGCCCAAGCAGGAAAATGGAAAGCAATTTTTTTTCTGCTTCCAGTGTTTATTTGAAGATGTCTGATGTTTCCAAGTTTTGGGTGACGTGACTGACGTAATTTTAATTTGCTACAAGTGGAAATGGTCCCTTAAAAATATCATATGACCAGATAAATCACATGGCCAAGGACATGGCGCTGGCAGGTTCTGCCAGACACACGCACACACATTAATGATGCCCACGGCAGGTTCTTGACGCAAATATTTGGCCAACGATATTTGGACTTTAGCTAATTATACTCTGTAATTGTGGATTGGAAGGGCATGCTGTATATGTGGAGTTGTGCAGTCATGGATTTCTATCGGAAATGGAGAAAAAATTTTTCTTACAGCAATAATAATATTTTTAGAATATTTGCATTTTTCGAGTAATTCCCATGCTTTTGGACTCATTCTAACCATACTAGAGGGTATTCTATAGTCCCCTATACAAGTAGTGGCACTCTCCTGTTTGAAAGTTCCATTTAGCCCGCAGCCAAAAAACAACGGAAACAAAATCAACGAAATCTCAAACTGAAAACGGAACTAAGCTGCTTGTGGCACAGACACAGCTCCGGCATCCTGGTCCATGGATTAGCCGTTAGTGGGGGGGGACACCAATGTGAAAATTGCATTTTTCTTTTCCTCCTTTTCACTCCTTTTGTTTCCGTTTTGCTCTTGCATTGTCGCGGTGGCGGTGGTTTGCTCGACTCTGATATTAAATTTCCAATTAACATTGGAGCATTATTTATCGGTGGCAATAAAAGTGTCCTGATTATGTTTGGCTCCGGGACCGGCTTTAGGGTCTGGTGCGGGGGTTCGGATTGGGCCTTTTAATATTCCATTTGATCTGGCTAAAGTTCGCCAGAGAGCCAGAACGAGGGAGCGGCAATTGGCCATCCATCCATCCCACAGCCTTGTTATTAGTTTTTATTTATCACTCACTCACTAGCTGCTTAATCTATCAAATATTTTATGAGCTAAAAGCCTTTTGCAGGCACGGAAAATAGTGCTGCTGGTAGGCACTATAATTATCTCTGTTTGGTTGTAATACATTTGTAAAGTGTTTTAGAGGTTGCCCAGCAGCATGGAAAATATATCCATATGCAGAATGGGTTGTTGCCATTACAAAGGCTTTTATGACAGGGCTTAGAGCCATTAATAGATAAAAATTGTAGTAGAAATCGTTGGGTAGGGAAAATGAAAGATTCAAAATGGTTTTTTGATATTTTGTTTGCTTGATTAAGTTTATAAAGTATAAAATTTAATTGTTAATATTATAATATAATATATAATATTATAATATAATAATTTAAATTTAACGGATTATCAAAAGTAATATTATTTTCTTTAAAATTAGAAAACTAAAATCAACGATTGTTCTTTAAATCTTTAAATTCCCTACGAATTTCCTTAGCCAGAAGCAAAATCAGGAAAATGCAAAAATGACAAGCCATAAAACACTATAAAAAATTCTAGGCAGCTGCTTAAGGCTTCTCCATTTTCCTCCAAGAACAGCAACATTTTATGAGCTGCAGCAGCCAGATGAGACAAGTCATTAACATTTACGGCCGACATCATTGAGAAGATCCTTCATGGATGTAAGTAAGGGCCTCGTCTCGGGTTCGTTTTTTATGTGCGGCGCTTACCTGTTGCATGCTGATGACACTGAAAGTCATTTGATGACCTCATTCCGCAAGGCTAAGCGAGTGTACACCAGGGATTTATCTACCCTGATTTGCCTTGTAGCTTTGGCTGCTTACATATTCATGCTTTGTGTATGGGGGTTTGCTTTTGATTTTCCGCCCACTTTATTGCCAGCAAATTAGTAATTAGGTGTGGACTGTAACTGTCTGAAGGACTGCTGCATGTGTAAGAGGAATTACTCTTGCCTTTACATGTGGGCAAACAATTTGTGGATTGACTTGGTCTGCATACTGTATATGTTTAATTTATGAGACAGTTCCATGCATATAAAAATGGCCTTTTCCTGTGATGCTAAGCATAGTTTGACCATCATTGAAGCATCGACACCATTAAGGGGAAGAGTGAAATTATCCCAAACGTTGTAATTGGGAATAAAGCAATTAATATGTTAATACGAATTTTACCTACGGAAATGTAAGCTGTTACATGTTTTATTTATTTGTCAGAAAGAGAGTCTTCCAAATGGATGATAGAGAGATGATCAAGCAGATAGAGAATATCCCTCTAATTATAATTATTATTATAATTACTTAAATAAATAGCCTAATCTTCCAGCTTTATTTTCACCTATGCAAACGTATTATATATGATATATTTGCATACAAATTACATAATCTAGTTCAAGGTTCAGTTATGCAATCGTTGGTAATCCTACGAACTTAACCTGAAATCTCATGGCAAACTGTCAAAGACTATTCTGATTGATTCCCCAGTCTCAGCCGCTCTTACATAAGCCCTCAGTCGCATGGGGGAAGGGCTTTCTCTATAAATTCACACATCTGTGGATTGCGGATGTTGATGTGGATGTGGATGTGGATGCAGAGAACCCATATCAACTCGAATCACGTTTCGGCTCAGCCTCGGTGCAAAATCAATTAAAGTTTGCTGCCCACTCTGGCCTGACCGTTTGAAGGCCAATGTCCAGGATTTATTGTGTGGCTGCCACACGTTGCACAATTGCCATTGTACTTGCATATTATGGATGCAGTGCGCGTGGGTGCCCGGCAGTTGCAATGTTTCGGTTGCAAGTTCATATCCGCATTTAATTGCGGAAATGCACTTAAGCCGGAGTAAGGTGAAAAGCAGGAGAAGGCGCCACTCGACCTGTCCGTCCCGTCCCACACTTTTACTCCCAACTTTCTGCCCCACCGACTCAAAGGCTATGCGGGTCACGTTTGTGGAAACAAGTGTTCTGGGTTCACTCCAATCTGCTTTGTTATGAGCTCTTGTTGAGCGCGATACTCGTACAGCAGGGCCATAAAGAGAAAAAACTGCAACTGGAATCTGTGACCTTTAATTAAAAATATTGCCAGCAACCTTTTTTACAGACTGCGTTGCATGCAACAGCTTTGAGCTTCAAAGGATTAGCCCGGTAACAAAATGGTGCCATGGTGGCTCAAATTCTGTGATGCTGGCAATGCCTTTTCCATGCAGATCCGCGTTGTGCAATATTAGTTACAGATTAAATGGCGCTTCAAGCTTCTAGGAAAATAAACAAAACAAAATAAAACAAAGCAATGGACGGAAACGGTTTGGGGCACAAGATTCTCAATAATTACAGCTAAGCTACACTGTGAGAGTGGAGAGTACCTATAACTATAACTAAAAATTCCCTATTTATTCTGCACCACTTTCAGCACCAAACCGCCTAAAAATGATGAAATTCGTACAGATTCTGTTGTGCTATGGCCTGCTCCTGGCTCTGCTCTTCGCCGTCAGCGAGGCCCGACCATCCACAGCCGAAACAGGACCCGTAAGTACAACCCGTGGGTGAACACTGTGCTTGACCTTAGCTCTAATGAACTCTATGATTTATTTTGGATGTGGATGTAGGATGCCGATGGACTGGAGGGACAGGAGGGTGAGGATGCTCGTGGCGCCTATGGTGGAGGCTATGACATGCCAGCCCAGGCCATCTATCCCAACATACCCATGGACCGCCTGCAGATGCTCTTCGCCCAGTACAGACCCACGTAAGAGGATGGGGAGGGGAGTGGGGAGTGGCTCTGAGCTCTGTGCATAATTAATCTATATCCCAGTTACAGCGCCTACTTGAGGACCCCCTCCTATGGCAATATGAATGAGCTCTATAGGCTGCCCGAGAGCAAGCGTCAAGTGAGGTATCGGCAGTGCTACTTCAATCCCATCTCCTGCTTTAGGAAGTAAATTCCTAACGCAACCGGAACTGTATCCGTGTACCCGAAAGCCCTTGGATAACACATTAACATTTCAAGCATTTCAAATGAAACAAAAAACAACCAAAAACCAAATCAAACCCAAGCATGGAATTTAGCATAAAACCTCAGACAAAATATAACGCAAATATTTAGTGCAATTAAACTAAAGCTAAGACTCAAACTTATAACCCCCCACCCCCTTATATATGTATATCGCAAATATAAATGTCTAAACAAATTACTACAAAAAATGCTTCATTGTAGTTACCAAAAAAAAATAAGAAACAAAACAAAGAAATCGAACTTATAAATTAAATATTTATTGAAATATATTTGCAAGACAAATGAAAATTTCTAATCCCCTTTTGGTTGTTCTCACAATTATTTATTTACGCTTGGCATATGGTGTGGTAAAATAATATAAAATTACAAATATATAAATATATATATGTATGAAAATACAATTGAATTAATTTTGAATTGCAATTCAAATTTGCTTTTGTACATTTAAATGTTTCTTTTAAAGCTCTCTTGTATAATACGAACTCAACAATTTATGAAATGACAAAATTCCGAATGCAGAAATTAGAGCCAAATATAAATATCAATATACAAATCCATACATGTAATATACATATATACAACAATATATTAAATAAAGTTATACTGTGTATGCATACGAGTACGTACAAGATAGATGCGAATGTTGAAGTTTTATTTATTACTAGCAGACCCGCGCGCTTCGCTGCCTACTAAATGCATTTAATGTTTAGGAAGCAAACAATTTTTAATACAAAAAGGTATAAAAACAAAATCTATCATAAAATCTTCTGTTCTACAGAATGACAAAACATGAAATGAAATAGGCGTTCAAACTCACATATTTAGACCTAATTTGAGATTTTTTGTTGATTAATTTTTAATTTTCGAGGAGTCTATTTATAGAAAAGTAAAAAGTAAAAACAATGCCACATACTCTGGCTATTATTTAAAAAATGATATGCATGCAATTTGGTGCACGCGTTGCGGAGATAGACAGATTTTTTTCTGTAAATTTATAGTATAGTATTTATAGATAGCGCCTTGATCACAAATGTCTGATGTGTTTAAATACTTTCTTCATGATAAATATGTAGATAATTCAAATCCAAATCGGTAAATCATTTCCTGTATCTAACAAACAAACTGTACAAAATTAGTTTGTTTCTGTTGATCTTCCAACCGAAACACAACAATTGCATTATATATGTACTCGTATCATGAGTACATATTGCCATAATTGAAACGCAAATTCGTTTCTTTATTTTTGGTTTCAAATATTTAATTTTATTTCGTTTTCTATGTTTATAAACATTATTTTAAATTATTTTGAGATATTTTGTTTTTGGAATTCATAGTTTTACATGAATAAAATGAAATGATATTTTTGTTGTATATTTATAATGTTTATATTAACATTTTTTAAGATTTGCAAGAAATTATTTAGAGTATCTCAGTTTTTAATTCTTATATCTAATATTTTTGTAGAAATCACTTTCTGTGCGATTTGCTTAAGGATTTGGTTTGCCTCTTAGGCCGTATAACCTTTAGTTTTCCGCTGAACTTCGATAGATCTTGAAGAACTCTCCTCATTTATCACTCCATTGGATCGAATATAATTGATTATAATTATAATTAATGATCCGCTTTCGGATCTCCACATCCTTATCACATTTATCTGTCTCGTATATTGTCAGATATTCAGGCGTCTCGACTCCAAGTTCTTGGACTGATACTTTCCAATGGATTGTCGCTGCTGCATCTGGAGAACGAGTCGATCCGGGGTGGAGATCTTGAAGCCGGTGCCTCTGCGGTGGCGCTCTTCGATCTTCAGCGAGGTGGCCATCATGAAGATGGAGAAGACGAGGGCAATTAGATAGCGAACGATTAGCATATTGTGACAAACGCTGTCCGAAACCAAGACTGGACAGTCCAGCGTTACCAGTTCGCTCTTTTATAGCCCAAGTGCACAGAACTATGTATATCCGTTACCTGTCCCAGGCGCGATCCCTTCCCTCTGCCATTTGTAAGCCCGGGGGATTAGCGATTGGCTAGAGTTTTTATAGCCACTACTCCTCAATAAACAATTTTTGCGTTAATCCATTTGGCAATTTCCACTTCCTCTGCAAGAAATCTGCACTCTCTTGAGATCCCCAGCTGAACCTCAGACCAGATGCAAAAGGGAAAACTAATTGCCATGCCCTGATGAGTGGAAGTTCCAAGAAGGAGAGACAATATCGACCTACCTGATGCTGCTGCACCCTGGACCCTGTTTTGTGATCTTCGCTGCTATACTCTGCTCTCTCTCTCTTTCTGTTTCTTTTTGCCATTAGACATTTTAATTGTTAATTTTTGCAAAAGCGATGCTGGCCAGCAAGGAGGCAGCAGCAGGAAAATTTAAATAATGGCCAAGCTGCAGGCAGAATCCGAGAGAGGAATCCAATGGCTACCTGCATTTATTATCTGTTGCTGCTGCTGCTGCTCCTCCTGCTGCTGCTGCCACAGAATGCTCCTCTTCTGCCGCCGCTGATCTACTCGACTCGAGTGCCATCAACGTGAAAACAAGTGGCAACAATTTTCTATAAATTGCATTTGTGCAAAATTAAGTTCAATCTTGGCCAAGTCGCGAACCAGTAGCTGTATCTCTTCGGCTTGCATCCGCTCGTCTGGGTCTGCGCCCAGTCCCCCTGCTCCACCCTCTCCCTCTCTCTCTCTCTCTGTCTCCGTCTCCATCTCTCTCACTCTGATCTTTCACTGCTGGAGTAGCCAAACTCCATTAACTTTGCAATTGGCCACCATAACTCGTCCGTCGGTCGCCCGTTGCCGCCGTCACCTCGTCGCCCATTTGGCCGCCGCATCCACATCCACCTCTACATCTCTACATCCACATCCCACAGAGCACCAGGCCGGTGCCGGTGCCGGTGCCGGTGCCGGGGCCAGGTCCAGGTCCAGTCCAGGCGAGGCCTGGCCCCATCGCTTGTTAGTTTTTGCGCCAGATCGTTTATAATAATTCGTATGCGAGTCATGTCATGGCCCCTAAAGTGTATCTGCAGCCGCGCAGTCGCAGCCGCAGTCGTCGCGGTCGTTGCGCATATCTGTATCTAGTCAAAGCGCAACTGCAGATGGTCTCGTGACACGATCCACGGAATTGCTTGTGGGCTAGAAAGTATGTCTAAGTAAGCTCAAAAGGAATAACACTGAGCTGAAGACAAAACTATTATGTGTGCTCGGATTAATTGCAGATGAATATTAATTTAATTTATTTTATGAAAATCACATAGAGGAAATCTTAGGAATCAGTCTGTGCTTCCGCACACATGGTCCTACATATGGTAGTTAAGTCAATACTGGGAGTGCGGAAATGCGGAAAAATGTATCAAGTTCCATTTAACAATTTGTAATATCCTATATTTTAGGAGAACTTTTAGGAGGTATTATTTTAAGACCCTAAAACTACATCTTTATAAGACCTTTCTTACTCTACATACGAGTAAAATATGATACTTTAAAGATCAAGCAAGCCTTGCAGCGAATCATTTAGGAATGTTTTTATCACAATGTATTTTTTTAAGAAATTTGTGGAGCTTTGATATCTCCCATTTAAAATGGGATATATACTTCCATTAAATTCATTAGACTTCAATTATTAATCTTATAAGAAGGTGGTGTAAAATTAAACATCCCATAGCTAAAATAAACATCAGAAACCTTTCCTTTCCATAACTCTCTAATCAACGAATAGCTCTCACGACTCACGGCCATCTCTGTGTAATGGAGTGGCAAGTCTTGGGATCGCCTGCTCTCGCTTGGCCTGATCTGGTCAACTATGCAACCGGCAGCAGTCGGAGTCGCCACAGCCCCAGCTCCAGCTTCAGCCCCCAGTCGGGTGACTCGAACTTGACTTCACTTGGCTTGATCTTGCGCCCGTTTTCTTCTGCGCATAGCTTTGGGTCGCCACTGGCTGCATCTTTCTCCGCATCTCACGGCCAACTCCTTTCCCCCCCTGGCACCCAGCCAGCCCGCCTGCCTGCCTGCCTGCCTGGCCCCGTGGGCCGTTGTCATACCACTTTATCCGCGGCGCTTTGTGCTGGTTTTGTTCTATTGGTAAAAGGAAGTTAGAAAAATGCTCTGAATTCAGGCGGCCACTGTTGGGGCCAACCAAGGCGGTGGCCTTAAGTGAATTGTGCCCGAGACAAGCTTCCAGCTGGGCCTCGGCCCTCGGATCAGGCAAAGCAAAGGGAATTTCTATTGCAGGAATCTGTTTGGGTTGAATGGCTTCGAAGTTCGAACTAAATGTGCCACCAGCCAGAAGTTGAAGAGTTGAGATTAATGGATTGAGTTGAAAGTTTCAGCATAGGCAGAAAGAATTTAGTTGTATAAAATTTGACTTTCGCATAGAGATCAATCGATTAAAGTAAACCCAATTCGCATTGCCCTTTTGTATCGAATATTCTATGCATTGATTTAATTTGAGTTTTGTGTCATTATTGGGCTGCACTCGCATGCCCCCATCCCATGCTGCACCTTCAGCTGCCGCAAAAGGGCAAAGACAAGAGAAGAAATATGAAATTCCAAACAACTGCGGGGCACTTAAGTCGCGGCTGCTGGTCAAGTCGGATCTCGAACCGAACTCGAACTCCCCAACGTAACCGGTAGTCAGTGTCGGTGTGGTGGCTATTGGCTCTTGGCTCTCCGCATTCACTGGCCACAGAAACAAGACCATAGCCGTGGCCATAGCTTGGACCATCGTCGTCGTCGTCGTCGCCGTCACCATGTCGTCGCGACTCCTTGGACAATGTTGCAATGTTGCTCTTATTTCAGAACATGACCATCGTCCAATGGGAGGCCAGGGAGGAATGCCTTAATTCAGGAATTTAATGAAAAATGCTCTATGAAGCGCTGCAGCAGCAAATTAAAACAAAAAGTAAGAAATACAACAACAAAAATCAAGCGAGGAAAAGTCTTGAGCGCACAGAAGCCATCGGTGGAAGGAGTGGAGGGAACAGAACGGAACGGAGTTGAGAACAAAAAGGTTAAAATTAAAATCTTCGCTGGCTCTTGTTCTCCTTAGTTGAGCGGTTTGTTTTTCAATATACCACATACCCTATAGAAATCTAATAAAAAATGGGGTATATACTATCAGATTGAGTACAGGATTGAGTACAAAACTGTACCACCAATCAGGCAAAAAAAAGGTTTCTGGTAATACTTAACACTTTGATTTAAATCCAATTAATATGAAAATTCTTTTAAAACAAATCTTGAGCTGCAGGCTGACAGGCAAAAGTTGAATTTCGAACTTTATTCTTGTGTCGGCTAAACAATTTTATGAGCACACTATTTTCGCTTTAATCAAAAGTGTTCCAAAGTATCCACACCACAGTAACTCTTCACTGTTAACCAGTTTTAATTAGAATCCGTTTAATGTTTCCTTAGTCTTCCAAATATATATTACCGCCATGATCTGTACTCCAAGGAAAATCTTTGATACTTTTCGCACTTACATTTCCTTGAAAATATCTGGTTCCCTTTATGTTTTCAATGCAATTATTGAATTATGGTGGCTTAGTGCTTATATTTGAGTCCTTCTAGTAGTTCCACTTGAAAAATATTATCATTATTGTAGTTTTCTAAAACTATGTATATGGTTCAACTTTAGTTATAAAATGCATACCTAAAGTATCTGCTTATTAAAAAGATTTCGCTGATCTCTGCATGTCCATTTAAATATTCAATATTTTAATCTACTAAAAAGACTTTGCCTTAAATTTCTTACATTAAATTTAAATTATTTCAATAATAATATAGGAGGGATAATGTATGGGGGAACCACACTCTAACTCCCTTCAATGATTTAATTCCATATAAACTCCCTTTCGTTCCCTTTAGTTTCCTCACCTAATGAGCTTTTCCAGAGGGTATACCCAAATCGATCACCTAAATCCTGACTGCTACTGCTCTTTATTTTGTTGTTGTTGTTGTTGTTGTTGTTGCTGCTTTTCAATCCAAGCGAACTGCAAACTGCGCGCTTCAAGCAGTGTGTGAGATCGGTGGCAGGTGATGCCGTTCAACTTTGAGGTTGAGTAGCTTGATGCGACCGACCAAAGTTGACCAGTTCCCCCTCCTCAAGCCACACTCCACTCCACTCCACTCCACACCTCCTACTCCTCCTTCCTCTCTCTCTCCCTGTCCCTCTCTGGTTGTGAGTGCGTCTGCAGCTCCTGTTGCTCTGCGTTGAGCGTTGTAAATTACATTTTCCAAATGCTTTTGCCATGTCGAACCAAAAAGCCATGTACATATGTGGCATAAAGGAGCTGCTTCTGCTGCTGCTGCTAGCTGTTGGCCATGGCCAGTAGCTGGGCAGCAAACTTGTGGCAACATCTCTCGCTCTCTCTCTCTCTCTTTCGCTCTGTCTCTGTGGCCTCTGGTCGTGGATGCCGCCTTTGCTTCCGTTTTGATTTGGAACACTTGTTGCAGTGTGGCAGCGGCAGTGGCAGCCCCATCCTCTCTCTGCTGGCTGCCTCTCTGCCTTATAGATTTGTCCTCCAACAACAAGAAACATTCATTCCTTGGGGGATATGTACATACACCCATATATATACACCATATATACGCGTACGTTGTTCCTACATGGATTCCAACATGGCATTTGGGATGCTCCTTCTTTCAATGCTCTGTTCGGGTTTTTTATTCTCCTCTCCCTTTCTGCGTATTTAAGCATTTTGTTGTTGCTTTCGGTTTTGGGCGATTGTGGGATCTCCTGTTGATTATGTTGTTGTAGTTTGTTCAGATCGTTGTTGATTGTTGTTGAGTGTTGATTGTTGCAAGCGGCCGGCAGGTAGCTGCCTGCTCTTGGGCCCTTCGAGCTGTTCGCTTTGATTAACAGAGTGAGAGATTTTTGCCAGAGATCGCCATTGGCTGAGAGATTACTGGGGCTTTCAGGGGGATAATGTAGGTAGTTGGGTTATTGTATTCGATTTTGAAACCTTATTTCCCCCATAAAGCCAAGTGATAGCTGATCCGCGAAACCTCTGGCGCGCGAAAGTATATTGCAAACGCATCCATTCGAAATTTTATTTCATTTAACATAACTTAAAGTGTCTTAAAAAGTACTAGGGGGAATGGGTGTAACCATAATCTAACTTCTAAATTTTATTATAATTTCTTTTCTTTCCTTTCCTTTCTGTCTTTGTCTCCGTCATTTTTCGTCATCTTTATGTAATGATTTTATCTGCATCATCTTTACCTTCTTCATTCGTATTTTGTGCTTTGCCAGGACAAAAATGAAGGCGAAGAGGATAAAGATGAGGAAAATGAACGCACTGAAGAGGATGCCGATAGATCGGACGGAGGTAAATACTTTAATTAAACTTGTGGCTCAACCAACAGTTGATCATTAGTTAATGCTCCATTTCTCGTCGGATATTTCTTGAATACTTAGTTGTTCCATTCCGGGTATATCATCCCATAGATTGGCATGGCCTTGGGGTGGATCACAATCCAAATTGCTGCCCTCGTCGCCAGCATACCAGCTGCAGTCTGTTGGTGGGTGGGTTGGAGCTGAATATAGACTGCTTATGGGCTTTCGATCGCGATATACTTACCCGATACACAATCATAAAATATTTCTTCGGGCTCCCCCAAAGTGATGTTGTAACTGGGCTCTGTCACTGCCGGAATGTGCTTGCCCGGCTTCAGTTGAATGTCCAAATCTCCGCAAATAAAATCGCTGAAGATGTAGCACCAACGGATGACCATGTTCCTGGTGCAATACTTGGTCGAGTCGATTTCCTCATGGTAGTCACACGCAATGCCAGCGGTGTAGTCAAAATAGTCGCCTTGAAAACTTGTGCTGGTCACCTGCAAGGTGATGTCATCGCTCGGCCTTCCCGTGATGCTCAAGGCAGCCTTTTTCAATGCGTAAAATAGGTACTGAATGTCGTAGACCAGTAGCTGACGATTTAATTTGTTTAGGGATTCATTTTCATCGGCCTCACAGGCCAAATAGGCGTAGCAAGCCTTTACCATTGATATTTGCTCGGTGGCTGTGTAGACAATAATCGGATCATCTCCTTGGCATCCCTCGGATAAATCATCAATGAATTTCTTATATAGTTTTTCCATTGTTCTGCCGAAGGCCATCGGGGGCAAGGGCAACCTGTGGGTGGTACGCGAATGTTCGGTTGCCTCTTCCGTCTGCCCAAAGATGAGATGCTTCGGACCAATAAGCGTACTGTACACGCCGCCGATGCCTTCCTTCAGCGAGTAACGGCAAGTGGCGTACTCCGCGGGCACGTACACATTTCCCTTCTTGGCGAAGTAGTTGAACGCAACAATATTGTACCCGGCCCCCCCCCCCCGGCCCCGGGCACGCGGGCGGCATAGGCCCGCTGCCCCCCCCCCGGCCGCCCCCGGCTTTGCGGGGGGCCAACACAAGAATTTATTTTACCTTTAAGCAGACTGAAGACTGCAAATAGAACGGGGAACACAAAGACGAAGCTCTCAATCACAAAATTAGAGACACAAAATAGCAATCGATTCGGTATAAACTTAGCCAAATAAATTTTAGTTGAGAGATTAAGCAAAATTGGCGAAACTTTTGTCAAGCCAGCTGACACCAGGTTGCAATAAATACTTATATCGATAGTTTTGTTCACTGCATCGATGTTCGAAATGTAAACTTGGTAAAAAGTTAGTGTCTATATTCCATTTATAAAATGTGGTTATAAACGAACTGAACGTGCAGTTATTGCAACTCAATAACACAACTTTGTGCCAGTGTAAACACCAGTTCTGAGGCATGTACCAACTATCGATAGGCGACAGTGTAAAGAGCTTAGTGCTTAGTTAGTGCTAAAAGTGATAAATATATTTTAAGCCGGCATTGCTTGAGGGTTTTACAATTTCTACGCTTTCTCTAGTGGTAAGTGAAGCTTAATTTGGTGAGGAATATTGGCATAATGCAGTAGCCGATTAAAATGGCAAACTCTCGCGCCAGCACACCGCCACATTGCCACATTGCACGTGGGTGATGGAGGAATTTTCGAAAAGAAGCCGTTCCAACTCTCCGGCGTATTGTAGATCTCGGGCAGGCAACATCGGCCAAGCTCTGGCTGAAGATCAAAAGCTAGGCGAAAATGCTGGCTGAGTGGCCGGGTACACGTTCCTTCTCGTTTCTTTTTGCATTCGTGGGACCGAGCCCAGGTCGATGCAGTAGCCAAGGCTGTAAAGATTTCTCCATAGACAACGGTATCTTCATTTTAAAATCAATTTATTAAATATGGCAAATTTTAAATTCTTTTGTTGCAAATTTCAATACAATATTGTATTACAAGATTTGTTTGTATTTCTTTAAAAGAAAGAAATATCCTATCACTATTTGAATTGCATTAAATTAAATTTACTTCACACAAAATTCCAAAAAAATATCTTTAAGCTTATATATTAAATCCTTGAGGGAGCTTCCTCTAGAACATGGATTCTGGTTCCATGATCTCGTAGGTGGACAGCGGCACCACCTCGTTACCAAAGTAGTTGGCACCGCCGGGAGCAATGTCCGGCTCTGGCACATCGTAGAAACTCTGGAGGAAGGGACTGCGCGAGAGCATCATCTTGGGATTGATGTAGGAGTGCCGCTTCATGTAGAAGTCCTTTTTGGCCTGTCGCCGCCATGGGCTGATCTGTTCCTCCAGCAGCTCGTTGCTCAGTCTATCGCGCTCCACCGGCAGGGAAGTGACCTCGTTATAGATCGGAGATCGTGACCTGGGCCGAGCTGCGACCAGCAGAAGCAGCGTGACCACGATGAGAATGAGGAATACAAGTTTAACGTTGGACATCTTGACTGCTTGGCAGCTGGGATTGGAATGTGCTGGATGAGACATGGCCGCGGGGCATTTAAAGGATGTTTAGGTAGTTGGCAACCGATTTACCGTAAGTGTTTTCTAATGATGCAAGAGGCAAGGTTGGCCGGCTACCTGCAAGCTACCTGACGATTACCTCTGTAGTTTATGACCAGTGATTGCATTCTCCTTTGGTTATCCCACTCGGGGCGCACTCACTACTTTGCCCATCCACCACCACATCAATCTGGGTCTGGGCAGGCATCCTGCGGCAATCGGGAGAGTCACTTAAAGTCGGCGACTCCACTCAAGGCATCAAGATCGCTGCGACTGGGGGACGGGACGGGACAGGACTGACTGACTGCGATGCCATTTCATGTTAATCAAACAACGAAATCCATCAACAGGTGACACACCGCAGTGCGGGGCAGCAGCCGGCCAAGTGGGCGGCGCAACTGTGGGGCAGAGGCAGGGAGTGTGGGGATCATGGCTATAGGGGGGAGCCACGACATCTACCAGACATGTCAGTGCGATAATGGTGCTCTTTCTGCCTCTGTATCTGCGAGTGTGTGCGAGTGTGTGCAGTGTGTGAGAGTATCTAAAACAACTTCATTCACAAAAATCAGACCAACCAACCAACAAACAAACAAAAAAAGGAGAAGCTAAAAAGCCAAAGAACGATGCCAAAGCATCTGTAAAAAGGAAGCTGGGCCATTAAAAATATCTTGTGTATGCCAAAAGCGAGGCAGATAGCAGCAGCAGCGGCAGCCACAAGACACATCCCAACCCGAGTTGAGGCAGGCACACAGGCAGGGGCAGTGGCTGCATCAGGCACAGAGGCTACTTGGTAGCATCATCATCAGAAGCTGCTGCACTTGCGGGGGCGCTGATCGGAGGGGGCGGGACTGGGACCGGGACCGGGACAGGGACAGGTCGCCGGCTAGTGGGCAGCCAGGGGGCAGCAGGCAGCACAGAAATAGCCAAGAAACATACGCCTAATGCCACAGTCATCGACATCCGCCATTTAGCTTGTTAACCCATTCTTTGCCCAGGGGTTTGCTAGGAGATAGATTATAGATAAAGGTTCTGGGATTAAACTATGCTTATATTTTCAGGTATAACGTATATACATATATGTATTATATCATTAAGACCCTTTTTTTGTTAGTAAAAATGTTGTAAAAAAATTAAGTTCTATAGATTTTCTTTTAAGCATGGTAAATCATCCTATTCCTGATTTTAGTATGCGTTAAAGTACATACATACATATATGTATGCATGTAAATATTTTGTATATCCCTAGAATATATCTTACAATTTTGAAATTCTTCTGAATTACGAGTATTGTGCCGCCGAGTCGTTTGTGAATTGTAAAAAATATGTATGCATAAATTAAACAGTAGTTTGTATTTCCCAAGAAAGAGCTATAGAGAATCTATATCAATTAAAATCTATATTACATACTGGTGCAAATGGGCGTATGGAGGGGGTTTTAGCCCTCGTTGAAACAGAGTTGGTTCGAAGAATCCAGACAGCCAATCGCTCAGCAACAGCTGTGTTTTGACAACAGTTAAGTGTCAAGGGATTAAATCGTTATTAAATACATGCAAAACTTGGTTAACATATGCTAGCAGTGGATTTTTAAACGGAATGCAACTTAATATAGGAGGCTTGATTTTAAGCAAATTAAAGCGAAGAACGTTCTCCATTTATTTCTGCAATCAGGTAATCGTTACATTCACCTTTAGTGGGTTAATCCATCTCCTAGTAGTAAGCTCTCCTTGTGCTCCTCCTGTACCCTCTCTCTCTCTCTTTCCTTTGGCTTCTGATGCTGCTGCTGGTTGCTGCGCAGTCGCAACTGTCTACATTTGTCGGCCTGCCTACAGCCGCCGTCGCTCTTCACTGTTCTTCTCCACTCCTGTGTCTTTTGCTGCCTTGTCTGTCCAGCCGTCCTGCCGTCTCCGGCTACCATCTCCATCTTCCGTCTCCCATCTGTGTCTTGTTCTTCTTCAGTCGATTGGATGTCCAGCTTTCAATTTGCAACATAAAGCATCTTCATCGTGGGCCGCATGAATGGGCAAATGACTGGGAGAGTGAGTGAGAGAGTGGAGGAGGGGGTAGGTATGCTTGGGTGTGGGCTGGGAGCTGGTGGCTGGTTGCTGTCTCCTCCTGCTCCACCTCCTCTTCATCCTACCATTTTCCCTGTTCCACTGGCATTGACGGTAGGCACTCAGGCGTGCCTTGGCGGTAGTCGCTGACCTTTATTGATTGCTGTTTGACCTCGCCTCGCTATTGTTGTTGCAGTTGTTGCAGTTGCATCTCCTAACCATTTGTACTTAGCCGATCGCTGGCATAGATTGCACCCAGTAAAGGTGTGTGGTGCGGGCAGGGCGGGAGGGCGGGGGCCATGCGGTATACGCCCACTAAGCATCGCTGCTCTTGCGTTGTGTTTTGTCGTTTTGCTTTCTGCCTTTTTGTGCAGCCTTCATTGTTACCTTCGCCTCTCTGGCGCGAGCTCTCTCTTCGTCTCACACTCTCTCACACCCTGCTGCTGCTGCTCTGCTTCTTCTTCTTCTGCTGCTGCTGCTGCTGCTGTTGTTGTGGTTGTGTTGCTCCATTACTCCGTTTCATGGCAGTTAATTTATATTCGATGGATGCCACTCTCGCCCTCTTTGTCCTGCTCTTTTGTTAGTGCTGTCTATACCCTTTCAGAAGGTATCAATATTCGTATATATAATCGTACAGCCAAGCATCTCCGAATCCATGGAGCAATTGTCTCTTAAGGTAATCCAATCAAATAATCCTAGTTCTGCAAGGGTATTAAACGCTTCGCCTACCAAAATTCCCTTCAATCTCTTTGTTTTGCGTGTTTTGTTTTTGCTTCTTACTTCCTTTTTGATGTGTCCCTGTTTTTGTTGCTTTTGTTGTCGGGGGCTGGCTGGCTGTCGTTGTCTATGTTCGAGGGTAAGGTCGCGTCGCCCGTCGGTCGGCTTCGTCGGTCGTCATTGACGCCTTTCCTTGTACTTAGTCTTCCATTTGCTATGCAAAAACAAAAGACTGAAGAAACGACCAGCAAGAAGGCCATCGAAGGGGCTTAGACTAAAGAATACCCACTAATACATCACTAATGTGATGTATCTTTTAAATCATTTATCCACGTACCAAGCAGTGGCATCTTCCACCTTAAATTGTTTCTTTAGTTTCTGAAATTTTGTAGATTATACGCACAGATTTGGTTATATCGACACTGGCTTGAATGCTCAGATTCAGTCTGAAGAGCTTCCTTCTCGCTGTGTCATACACCCACACGATAACAAATATACCCTTTGCACCCTAAAAGGTAGCAACAAGACAAGACCAGGCAGGCCTCAGCACACTTTGGGAGCCTTCGTTTTGTTTGGCTTCTATCTTGTAGTTTGTTTTGTTTGACAGTTTCTATCTGGAGGGCTATCAGAGTCGTATTCGTAGTGGGAATCGGAACCGGAGTCGGGTTGGGGCTGGCACAGGGAGTCCGTTGCAGCCTCAAAGACGAGACGGCTGGGCTGTCGTTTTGTTTGCTTAATTGTTTGGTTTCTGCTATTGAACGACGGTGCAGCACCATCCACATCCACATCCCCATTCCCCACACCCACCAGAGGCAGGGAAAACTGTTCGGTTTTCGTATAGGTGGGGGCGATATTTTCCATGGAAATAAATTAGCTGATTGAGGATAACCGTAGTTAGTGGGATGGCGAATGCAAATGTGAGAGGGTGCTGTACAAGTGAATTATCACCTCGTTTTTGCAGGCGGCCCTGTCCTGTCCTGTCCTGTCCCGGTGATATCTCCATCTTGTTTTGCGGCTAATGGGTATCTGTGGATAATGATCCTACCTACTACCATATTGATTTGGTTTTAATCATGCACTATATTATTATTTTTAGCTTCTTTTAAGCTTCTCACGAATCTCGTACCATCTATAATTATTGACCGGGACCGTGCTTTAATATCGCCAGCAAATCAGATCACTTCATAATGATAATAATCACTCAACCTGCTTACACGTTAAAGAGCATCAGCTCCACAGATCAAAGAGCAGAGAATAATCTCTCTTAGCTTGTGGCGCTCTCTTAAAGCAGAGCGTGCCAAAGCAAATTCATTCATACCGCCACACTCAAAGGTGTATTTAATCAAAGGTAAGGTCTTCCCGCTCTTCGTGTCACATGGCCAGTTGATCTCTCGCTCTCGCAAAGAGGCGACTCTCGTGGCGCCGATCTCTCAACCTCACCCTTTCTTCTATACACTCTGATCGCACTCACCCGACCAGTTGTTGTTGTTGGGGGCTAAAAGAATCGCCACTTGTCGTTCGGCTGCCACTGCACTATGAGGGAGAGCGCAAGCAAGAGAGCATGAGATGGGGAAGAGAAAGAGAGCACGAGCCCGTACGATGGGCTCCATCGGCGCGGACGATTGATCAGTTTTCTGCTGCATTATTCAGCTTTCAGCCGGTTAGGTTAGTGATTTTTGCAACGCTCCTGAGTGCGGTTCGGTGTAACGGAAACGAAAGAAGCCTTTTGTGGAGCCCGTGTGCAGCTTTTTTCGTCCGATGCGAGCGAATACGAAGACGAAGACAAACAAATAAACAATAATCGTAATAATAAACGTAATTCAAACAATTAATCAAAACGCGGCGATCAATGAAACATACATACATACACACACACACACAACGAAGAAATGTTTATTTAATTGTTATACGGCTATAAAAAAAAACTTACAACAACCAAACAACATAGAAAAAAGTGCCAGTGAATGAGATTGTACTTAATTTATACGTACAAAATAGCTGTAAATGTATGGCATGCCTGCGAGTGTGTGTGTAACAGTGCCAGTGAGTGTGTGCGTGCCTGTGCGTGTGTTATATGTGTGTGGCGGCTTTATCAATTGCTCCACATAAAAGTTTTCATTGAAGTGTTTGACGACAACCCCAAATAGCCAGCGAGCGAGCGAGCAAGCGAGAGAGAGAGTACGCGAAGGAGGAGAATCAGCTTAAAACGGTAATTAAGACAAACAACATACTACTGCCCGTTCGTACTCTTCTTGATTTGGCCATAAACAAATGATTCAGCAAATTGTTCGGTGAACAACTGTAAATTTTGATTGAACTACAACTACAATTACAATTAGTAAAACTAAAACTACAACTACAACTACACTCGTACAACTTGCGGGTGACGAAAGCTGCGTCAACGCATGCTTGCAATTAGTGTAACTGTTTATGGGGTGGCTGTTTGCCGTTTGCCTGTTTGCTGTCGCTGTCGACGTTAACGTTGAC